CTTATCCTCACAGAAGTCCTAATGACAACCTTGGGTAACCGGTCAAAGCGTTCGCTCGTCAGGCCTATGGTTCGAGTTCAGTACAAATTGTTCAGAAGACTGGTTGCGTTGCCAGCCATGATATTCTTGGAATATCGCTAATATGAATATTGCGATGTACAATTATTGTCTTTAGCGATAAGCTAAAAGTTGTATTTGTAGCACTAATTGCAGTTTGTCGGACATTATCATAGCAAGGTGGGATCAAACACAAAACAAGGCCTTTACGCAGAAAAAAAACCGAGACGGCACATCTCACCCCGTCACACACACGTGCACGCACGTGTACATATATATTTATGTTTATCCAATCAAGCAACATAATACCCCGCTCCCGCGTTATCGTTACAACGTGTACACCTTGAAATGTCGTCACGGTGTACAGCGCCACACGCTGCCAACAAGATGCTCATTATCCAAGATCTCATCGGTAAGCGTTTACCGGGTCAGGGCTGAGAATCACTTTTATCAGCATCCCTCATGTCCGTGACCCATATGTCACAGTTCGGTGCTGCTGGAGAAATGTGCCTATATATTTCAGCTTTCTCAAATGCACTTTTTCAGAATCATTACATTGACGTTAGCTACTGTGTTTAGGTGCACTAACTTTAGCTACTCTGTTTACGTAAAGTAGCGTTAATGACGTTACATCCAGTGGCGTTAGTTATTCTGTTTACGTGTACTGACGTTACATCCAATGACGTTAGTTACTTTGTTTACGTGTCATGACGTTACATCCTATGACGTTAGTTATTCTGTTTACGTGTAATGACGTTACATCCAATGACGTTAGTTACTTTGTTTACGTGTCATGACGTTACATCCAATGACGTAAGTTACTTTGTTTACGTGTCATGACGTTACATCTTATGACGTTAGTTATTCTGTTTACGTGTAATGACGTTACATCCAATGACGTTAGTTACTTTGTTTACATGTAATGACGTTACTCTTTGTTTACGTGTAATGACGTTACATCCTATGACGTTAGTTACTTTGTTTACGTGCACTGAGGTTAGGAACTGCGTTTAGGCATAATGGCGTGAGTTACTTAGGTTACGTGTAATGACGTGAGGTCCACTGCGCCGACGATGGCTACTGTTTAGGTGTAACGACTAAACAATGCCATTTAAAATTGTGGTCAAAAGTAACGTACGCTATATGTGGAAGCCGCCGTGGCTGAGCGGGTAAGGCTGCTGACGTTGAGTGCTTTCGATTAGGGAGTCCGCATGGGACTCGACCCAACAAAAAGGTACTAGAATGGTGGTCTATGTCCATTAGTACTTCTAGATATTTAGAATATTATGCCTCTCATAAGTCTTTGCTAGAACCAGAATTGTATATTTTAAATTTTCATGATAAATCTTTGATAAGAGCCTTATGTAAATTAAGAATTGGTTTTCATGATTTCTGTGTAAATAGGGCACGTAAACATGGTATTTCTACAGAATGTAAAAGTGATTTGATCTGTTCTAATTGTAATACAGGCGCTATAGAGGATGAGTTTCATGTCATGTTTGTATGCACCCAGTATCTAAGTTTGCGAAAAAAGTATATGCCATTTCTTTCACACACTGTAAGAGATAAACATTCACTGTCAAATTTGTTAAATTCTAAGAATATTATGACCATTAAGTCTGTAGCAATGTATCTCAAACATGTTTTTACTGTACGTAGCCATAAATGTAACCATGTATGAAACCATATGTTCACGTGACCTGCAAAGTATTCTGGAACAACAATAATTGTAATGTAGGCCTTAAGGCCAGAATTACTGAATAAACTGAACTGAACTGAACTGAACTAGAATCTGTACTTTACTTAGAAAGTGTAATAGCAAATACAGCATATGTTACAGTTGTAATGACGTTAGCTGATGGGCAAGTTTGTGGGCTAGTGCAGAGTGACGTTATTTTCAGTGTGTTTACATGTAATGACGTCAGCTAGTGTTTGCGTGCATTGAATCAAACTTTTTAGACTATTTCATTCTTGGCGTAAGTTAAATTACCGTTTACGTATAGCGACGTTAGCTACTGCGTCTTCATGTATGGACCTTAGTTATCGTGTTTACGTCTATTGACGTTATCTACTGTTTGTGTCCATTGACGTTAAATACTGTTTCTCCGTGTAATGACGTTATAGCTCTTGTGCATTTACCTAAGTAAATGTTTTACGTGTATTGATGTCAGCTACTTTGTACGTGCATTGGCGTCAGCTACTATGTTTGAGTATTACTACTAAGTAGCTAACTTTACGGCTTTTTACTCTAACGTCTCAGCAACTAACCAAGAAAAGACAGTCTTTTCTTGGTTAGTTGCTGAGACGTTAGAGTAGCATTCTGATCCAGTCGGTGTGCCACCCCTGAAATTATCACATGAGTATATGGTTCTCGTATTCGGGCATTTTTCTGAATCACTACGCGTTGATTACGTGTAGGGCTGGGACGGGTAGGAATAAATGGAATCGAGTACCCGCATGTGCTTACCCGAATCGGAATCGAGTACCCGGAAATGTAAGGAATACAGCGCTTCTGTCAACTGTCTGAATATTCAATCACGGGTTGACAGAGATTATTATAGAAACTTGAAAGGTTGGCAATAAGACATTAAAACAGATCTTAGGCTATTTAATTTTCGTCTATTTAACCAATATAAAGAGTATCAGCATTACTTACATTCCTCGTTAAAACACAGAACTTTTCGTTCCCGCCGCTCATGCGTAGATAAATTACAGTCGTTAATAATAACCTTCGGACAATACTAATGTTGTAAATGTGTGTTACGTCAATTATGAAAAAGACAAGTTATTATCTGCCCTTGTCATTACAGAGTTCTCTCCCTTTCCGGGTACTCGATTCCTAGAAATAGGACTCGATTCCAGGTGTACCCGACCCGGATTCGAGTACCCGAGTACCCGTCCCAGCCCTAATTACGTGCTAGAAAGGATGATTTAGATCTAATGTACACCATACAGGTCCGAAGATGCTATATATACCTTTCATCAAAAGTTTAGACTCACTAGTGTAAATATAGCTACTTACTTCAGGCAACTGTTCTAAACTACATTTTGCAAAATATGCCATTCTGTTTAAAGGTACTGTTTACACATGAACTGGTGTATGTTAAAACAAATTCGTAACGTTGAAAAGATTATTGTCATGAGTTCAGTAAATGATGAAAATCAGTGAAAATTGGCGTATTCTTAACACAACTTTACACCACAACGCAGCTGTTCACATGCACGATATGTGCACATGCTTTTCAGCAATTTGATACATGATCCTCGTGCAATTCCTCTGCATAAAGTTTGCAGTTGGTTCCCCCAAGTTAGTGGAGAAATCAGTCTTCGATGTAATCATATATATATATAGTGAGTGTTTTAAGTGAGTCTAAACTTTTGAAGAGAAGTATACTTTAGGCAGTGAGTAGGGATGCTCTATTATCGTTCATAACCATTGCATCCAGTAGTAGTACGTTGAAAAGGAATGTTAGCTGATCGGTTCCCATTCTGTGACTTGCCCGTTGACCATCCCGTTCCAGACAATCGGAGTTGGCTTAATCTTATACACGAATGCATAAATATTTGAAGTCATGTGAAGAAAATTAAATACAAAACACGGCGTTTATATTTGAAGATTGAAGTTTTCTCATATCGCGCAAATAAGTGGACACTTGATTCAATTCTGTTTTCACAACACACCCAAAACATAATTTCAAACTTTATAAAACTAATATATGTCAAAGCAGCATGGAAAAGGTTCTTCAAAGGTTTGCCACTTCAAAGGAATCAAGAACACTGAGACATTAAAACATTACAGTGTGCACCAATATGCAATCCAACACAACCCCGCCTAGCATCCCCACACCGACAGAAACAAGAAAACTCTCGTGTAAAACTCTAGCGTGTACAACACTCGAAATATGTACAACACTCGCAACATTCACACCACTTTCAACATGTACAACACTCGCAACATGTACAACGCTCGCAACATGTACAACACTCGCAACATTCACAACGCTCGCAACATGGACAACACTCGCAACATGGACAACACTCGCAACATTCACAACGCTCGCAACATGGACAACACTCGCAACATGTACAACACTCGCAGCATGTACAACACTCGCAACATTTACAACACTCGCAACATGTTCAATAAATGCAAAATGTTCAATCCTTGCAACATGGACAACAATCGCAACATGTTCAATACTCGCAACATGTTCAATATTCGCAACATGTACAACACTCGCAACATGTTCAATACTCGCAACATGTTCAATATTCGCAATATGTACAACACTCGCAACATGTTCAATACTCGAAACATGGACAAGACTCGCAACATGTACAACACACGTAACATTTACAACACTCGCAACATGTACAACACTCGCAACATTTACAACACTTGCAACATGTTCAATAAATGCAAAATGTTCAATCCTTGCAACATGGACAACAATCGCAACATGTTCAATACTCGCAACATGTTCAATATTCGCAACATGTACAACACTCGCAACATGTTCAATACTCGCAACATGTTCAATATTCGCAATATGTACAACACTCGCAACATGTTCAATACTCGAAACATGGACAAGACTCGCAACATGTACAACACACGTAACATTTACAACACTCGCAACATGTACAACACTCGCAACATTTACAACACTCGCAACATGTTCAATAAATGCAAAATGTTCAATCCTTGCAACATGGACAACAATCGCAACATGTTCAATACTCGCAACATGTTCAATATTCGCAACATGTACAACACTCGCAACATGTTCAATACTCGCAACATGTTCAATATTCGCAATATGTACAACACTCGCAACATGTTCAATACTCGAAACATGGACAAGACTCGCAACATGTACAACACACGTAACATTTACAACACTTGCAACATGCACAATGCTCGCAATATGCAAAACACTCACGTTTGTTGACCTGCCACGGCTCCCAGAATTCAGCTCTTCGCTTAGACACGTGAACAACGATTCTTGCAGTCGGCAGTCTGTTTGTTGCAAAGGTTGCACAACCCGTGAGAAGTAGCACAACAAGGCTCAGCAGCCGTACACACCTGACACCCATCGAAGACGACATGTCAACCAGATGGGGCTTCACACGCTGAAGGTGCTTGTTTGAGAGTAGATCTATCAGTATCCCACTACCCAGCAGCTAGATCTAACAACACACTCCGGCTAGTGATTATGATGATGCTACTCCTCCGATCCGCTAGGATTCATATACTCGCAATATGACCCACAACTGTCAAATAGCCGTTAATGTCTCCAGGGAATAATTTCCATGAGAAAATAGCACAAACGTCCTTTAAAATTCAGGATTGTGAAATATATCCTCCAATTTGACGTCGTTATCTTCAACACATGTCTTAATATTCACTTCTTGACAAGCTGCCTCTCAAATTAAAGCAACATCCTGTATCGTGATCCACACTCCCAAACATTCACAGCACAGCCTTCTATGTTGCCCCAGCTATGTGAAGTACCCAACTATATCCATCACACAATGTCTTGTAAATCTCCCCAGCATTAACTCCAAACAGCGGAGAGCGTATCGTTGACAACATCTTGGCCAGGAAACTTTCCCATATTTCCCCTCTGACTGCCTTTCTGGGTGCAGCCACTGTGACTCTCACCTGTGCTCCAGTTAACACACATCATGGCCTATTGAGATGAGACTACCTTCCACACGGGTCCTTGCTGTGGGTGACACACACATGTGACTGTCTAGGTGGGTTGATTATCGACGTTGATCTAATGTTAATACATTATCCAAGCTAAGTCGACATCGGCCTTAAAGAACACCTCCCTTTCGCTGCTGTAGGCGCTCTGGTTGTTGATGGTGAGATGAGTGAGATGGGTGAGATTGGTGAAATATATCCAGTCTCATTTACAGACCTGTGTCATACTACCTTCCCTAAGTCCACGACATGCACACAAGTCTTCCCACCACTCGATCAATAGGTGTGTTTATATATCCTCGTGCTGTTCCATTCATAGCTTCTGAAATCCCAGCTGTGGAGGTGGTTCCGGGCTCATTCGATTGGACACGCGAGTAGGCGGTTAACTAATCATTTTGAAGTAGGTGAGCGGTAAAAGTGATTACTCACACTTGACAAACTTGAAGGTATGTGTGTTAGTAGTTGCTCAGAGGCACAATTCTATATGTATTAAGTTTCTTGGTAACTGTGCCAATCATCCAATTAATGGATATAAGCTGACACGCAATAAACACCCATAACCCACTTTAACTCGAAATGAGAAGCAATGAGTTTTCATGATAACAAGACTATCTCCAAACACATAGAATAAGATTCGAACCGTACGAAAAACGTCTTTGTTTGATGACTTCTGCATATTTAACTAAATTTGACTTTTCTAAATTTGCTGCACATTCTGAAACGTCGAATATGCGTTTTAACAAAGTTTAAGAATATTGACGCTAAGAAAATGATGACTTGTGTACTACATCAGTTTGCAATACAGAGGCTTTATGATTATTGAGGGCAGGGTCTTATAGTGAGTGGCTAATTAAAAATTGTGCTTAATCACGTGTATTTATGTTTTAACAATATGTATTATCAAATAACCAAATAATTAAATAATGAATATCAATTAAAAAATTATAAACTTTGATCCGCACATGTCGTAGTTGCTACCTGTCAAGTTAACCATGGTATCATATCATCTAACCGAATAAGTTACAATGACGAGAGTGAGGGCGAGAACAGTACCTTCATGTAAAATACTTTAATTTCATTGGTCAATTAGGGGATAACTGTACTGTGTTTGACGAATTGGGGACGTATACCGGTGGTTATATATATTTAGTTAAGCGGAGCCGATATAACGGTAAATTTGCGGCTATATAACCACCGGTATACGTCCCCAATTCGTTAAACACAGTTCAGTTATCCCCATTCTTATTCAACTCGTTTTACGCTGGTTTTTTTCGTGAAAGAAATTCATTATTTAAACCAGGTCAAAGTTCCTCTAGGTCAAAGGTTAATCATATCACTCCTTGAACTTACACAATCGCCAGAAAAAGTAGTTCCCTATTCAAACTTCAACACGTTTATTATGTGCACACTGTCCAAATCTGACAATGATGAATAAATCATAGTGTTATAGATAAAATGGACGGAATTATGATGAAACCACTCTTTAGCTATCAGAAATGAGCGGCCCGCTGATTCCTCAACTACGGGCCATTATCATAATGACGTCATAATCTCGTTTCATGATCTAACAGTGTTCGGTCAACAGCCCGTTGCGAGTAAGTTGTTTGAACTTAAAATTAAATTTATGATACTGTTTTGCCTTTTTTTAACACACATTCCACCCATTTTAGCTGGATAGGGGAGTTAATTGGCCAAGGGCTTCTGCAAATGACAATGCCCTGAAAAACAGCGTTACCCCAATTGTGTAGAAATACATCCAAAGCTTTGGGTGAATCGGTTTTCAAATTGCGAACGTATATGCTGATTATACGGTCGGAAATTTATAGCATTGACCAATCAGAACTCGTGTTACATACTAAGTTGAATTAGAATGACGGTTTAACAAGTTTCCGTGTCACCCTCTCCTCTCAGGAGGGTGACAACTGGAAAAAATATTACCCGCTGCCACGGTAACCGCCAAGCTCTCCGCCGAGAAGCTGAAGCGCTAACAATCGTATGACGTCATAATATGACGCATGCCGTGCCCCGGAGTTCGAAAACCGTTCGATCAGCTGTTTTTGTGTTCACTTTGTACAGATTTATTTTACCGACTTTCACTGCTTTATTTACGCTATTGTATACATTGAGTGGTTTGCACACTCAGCTTAAACATAATTAACAATTTTTTATAGCAGTTTTATGCTTGTCAGAATATGTTTCACTGATGTTAAAAATCCAGTCGAGAAGCAGACGCCATTTTGTTTGCATGTCATATAGTCGGTAGCGATCTTTACCATAAAATAAAATGATATTTTGTACATTTAACATGGCGGTAAGACTTTATATCATTCACCTAGTTCAATGTGTTTGCATCTGGACATTTTGCTGTCACAAAGTGATACTGGGTTTCAACAGGTTTTGTTTCTTTGTTGCCTAACGCCGCACTCAGCAATATTCCACCTACTTGGTGGCGGTCTGTAAATACTCGAGTCTGGACCAGACAATCCAGTGAGTAACAGCATGAACAATGATTATTGATATCTATGAAACTGAGATACGATAACATGTGTCAACTAGATCAGCGAGCCTGGCCACCCAATCACGTTAGTCGCTCTTACGACAAGTACTTGTTGCTGAAGACCAATTTTAACCCGGATCTTCACGGGCTGCTTCAACATGTAGTGAGGGCATCTGGTACTGAATATCCGGTAGTGAAGGAGGTTTGATATGAGTGTAGGTCCAGCTAGTCGATTGTATAAAGCATATGCATCTGTCAAAAGAGCACATATAAAATTGAAACCGAGTCTCGACCAGACATTCCAGTGAATGACATCTTGACCATCAATCATCTATACCCTTAGCTGGAATCCAGCGAGTTCTAACTTTGTGGTTACAATGTACATGGATCTCCCAAGATAAAGAATGGACAGTTGGACCACAGATATGCAGGCAGATGTTTATGTATGTAAACATAGGTGAGTAAGTGAATGAAAAGACCAGGCGGGGTAACACCAAGGCTGACAACAAGACCAGGCGGGGTAATCCCAACGCTGACAACATGACCAGGCGGGGTAACACCAAGGCTGACAACATGACCAGGCGGGGTAACCCCAAGGCTGACAAATGACCAGGCGGGGTAACCCCAAGGCTGACAACATGACCAGGCGGGTTAACCCCAAGGCTGACAACATGACCAGGCGGGGTAACCCCAAGGCTGACAACAAGACCAGGCGGGGTAATCCCAAGGCTGACAACATGACCAGGCGGGGTAACCCCAAGATTGACAACATGACCAGGCGGGGTAATCCCAAGGCTGACAACAAGACCAGGCGGGGTAACCCCAACGCTGACAACATGCCCAACGACATCAGGCAGGACCTGCAATCAAAAACATCACCCCATCCTCATTCGTATTCGGCTTTAGCTGTAGGTATTGAGGAAACTGGGGGATCCTAAATTACGTTTGTGATATTGTATGGTTTCAGCACCTCATTATCTATAATGCATGGAGAGTTGTTGAAGGTGTCAATTTCTAGACCCCAGTTTATCCAAGTTAAAGAGAGACGTTGTTTCAGTGTAAGTGTTACTTACATGTAGTGTACCTGTTAAGCGGGTACGGACAACAGCGGGGCCGCATCTAATCGACTTATGTTTAAATATATACCTTTTCGGGATAATTTTGAAATACTGACACCAAAGCACGTAATACCAATTTTGCAAGTCATATAAAATATAATTTAAGTAGGAGAATACTCTCCATCCTAGACTTGCAAAATTCTCTGATGTAAAACTTAAGAGTTTAAATGATAATTTCTAAAAAAAATAATTAATTACAGACTGGGTCCTTAGACTGTCCGCTTATCTAGACTTGCCTCTTTAAAGGATAGAATTACTACACATTCATGGGCTCAGCATTCAGTACAGCCTTGGAGCAAGGCTACCTCCAACCCTCCATTCCTTAAAAAAATGGAGTTACCTCGAGACTGAGTTATAGTGAGTGCTTTGACTGGATTATATGCAGATAAAGTAGTGAGTGATAGATAGAGCAGTGAGTGATAGATAGAGTAGTGATAGATAGAATAGTGAGTGATAGATAGATAGAGTAGTGATAGAGTAGTGAGTGATATATAGATAGAGTAGTGATAGATAAAGTAGTGAGTGATATATAGATAGAGTAGTGAGGGATAGAGTAGTGAGTTATATATAGAGTAATGAGTGATAGATAGATAGAGTAGTGAGTGATAGATGGAGTAGTGAGTGATAGATAGAGTAGTGAGACAGAAAGTGGTAGATAAACAGACTGAGTTATAGTGAGTGCTTTGACTGGATTATATGCAGATAAAGTAGTGAGTGATAGATAGAGCAGTGAGTGATAGATAGAGTAGTGATAGATAGAATAGTGAGTGATAGATAGATAGAGTAGTGATAGAGTAGTGAGTGATATATAGATAGAGTAGTGATAGATAGAGTAGTGAGTGATATATAGATAGAGTAATGAGGGATAGAGTAGTGAGTTATATATAGAGTAAGGAGTGATAGATAGATAGAGTAGTGAGTGATAGATGGAGTAGTGAGTGATAGATAGAGTAGTGAGACAGAAAGTGGTAGATAAGCAGACTGAGTTGTAGTGAGTGCTTTGACTGGATTATATGCAGATAAAGTAGTGAGTGATAGATAGAGCAGTGAGTGATAGATAGAGTAGTGATAGATAGAGTAGTGAGTGATAGATATAGTAGTGAGAGATAGAGTAGTGAGTTATAGATAGAGTAGTGAGTGATAGATAGAGTAGTGTTAGATAGAGTAGTGAGTGATAGATATAGTAGTAAGAGATAGAGTACTGAGTTATAGAGTAGTGAGTGATAGATAGAGTAGTGAGTGATAGATAGAGTAGTGAGTGAGTGATAGATGGATAGAGTAGTGATATATAGAGTAGTGAGTCATAGATAGAGCAGTGAGTGATAGATAGATAGAGTAGTGATAGATAGAGTAGTGAGGGATAGAATAGTGAGTTATATATAGAGTAGTGAGTGATAGATAGATAGAGTAGTGAGTGATAGAGTAGTAAGTGATAGATAGAGTAGTGAGTGACAGATAGAGTAGTGATAGATAGAGTAGTTAGTGAGCGATAGATAGATAGAGTAGGGAGGGATAGAGTAGTGAGTGATAGATAGAGTAGTGAGTGATGGATAATAGAACAGTGAATGATAGAGTATTGAGTAATAGATAGTGTAGTGCCTGATAGATAGAGTAGTGAGGGCGGCCAATGTACATTACCAGACTACGGTCAAACACTGTTTCGTCGATTGTCGACTGTGACGTCATGATGACGTCCTTTCATTTTTATTTTTATTTCATACAA